TTTTATGGGTTTTTCCCATTTGCCTTTTAAAATATATATATATATATATATATATATATATATATATATATATATATATATAACAAATATATTACATATATATAACTTATATAAATAATAGTAGCAATTATTATTATTTTTATTATTATTATTGTAATATAATATTAAACAATAGCAATAATGATAGTGTTAAAGCATTTCTTATAATTAAAATTTTAACCATGAATAATCTCTTTTCCATAAATTATCTTATTTAAAAAATGAATGAGGCAGGCGATATTCCAATTCATGGTTTAAGGATGGATTCAAAGTGTGACTATAAATCAAACTTACATTTAAGAATTACCTTGTGATTTTTGTTGTATCTGTAGGTTTGGTTCAAAAACAGACGTGCCAAATGGAGGAAACAGAAGCGAGAGCAACAAGAAACCGTCAAGCGAGCCTCAAACTTAGATGTTGAAAATAGTCATCCAACCACACTCGTACCAAACAGTCCAAACTACAGTGACGATGAAGACGATCCAAATACCACTACTGCCAACACAGAAACGAACGAAAATAAACATTTTAAAATAAAAAAAGAAATCGAAAAGATAGATATTATAAGCGGAACGTCTTTAATTTCAGGTTTTAATAATATTAATAACACTCACTAATTTCCCATAGTTCCCAAATTCGAAAAATCCTTTCTGTTAGATCTGATTAAATGAGCTTCCTTAATATATTTTATTTTATTTTGCCGTGCGCATGGTACGAATCGGCGCTGACTTTCCTGAGACAATTGATAATAAAGTAGTAAAAACATTCAAATATTATGAATTTGCGGGAGATGGTTTATTTTCCGGGGGATTCGTCCTTTGATTGCGGGAGTGCAGGGAGAATCCGACAAGTTCCGGGAGACTTCGGACCATCCCTGTAAAATCCTGGTTTCCATAAAATCGTTATTTAATAAGTGTTGCAAGAATCTGGTTCTGGTGGGTAAAGCCGACCTCCAAAATGTTTAGGAGTATAACAGGAGGGGTAGAAATAGTGTCAAATTACAGGAAAGGTCCACCACCACATGAGCAGGATTGCCGTATCGCCTCAGGCCGCATTGCACCTGATAGTTAGGAAACTCACAATCACAAGAGCATCGGCTTTGCGAAAAAAAAACAAAAAACAAATTTGGTAGTGAAATCTTGGAACGTTTAGAAATAGAGTAAGTGAAAATTACACCTCCAAGAAAGGAGGCGAGAAGATTAGAATATTAAGAGTAATAAAATAATAATAATAATAATAATAATAATAATAATAATAATAATAATAATAATAATAATAATAATAATAATGTCATCTTATTAGGCGCACGTATCCATCTCTTGGTAGAGCTGCTCGTGACGCCGTTTTCCGCCTGCAGAGTGTTAACTAGCAATTATATGGAAACTATGCTTAGTCATACTATTGGTTTTTCTATCACATTTAAAGATAGATTTGTATTTATTTAACATAGTTTGGATTACTTAGTTTACTAATTAATCATTTCAGTTTTTGAGGGCCATCCCTTTTCATGACAGACGGTTATCTTTAATTTGCTAAAGAAAGCGACAGGGGGCGGTTACTCATGAACTGACGAATAAAAATTACAAGCCGCCGCTGTAGTCGCAAGAGTGCATAAGCAACTCGACAATGATAACGCGTAATTCTAGATAAACTACAAAAAAAAAAAAAAAAAAAAAAAAAAACTTGAACTCCGAGGTTTCCTACAAAAAAAAAAAAAAAAAAAAAACTGGGACAACTCGTCAAATATTTCTCCTTCGGAAAGACAAAAAAAAAACCTTTTTGAAACTGACTTTTAAAATCATTAATGTATTTTGACAATGTCATTGTAAATAGTGTATATGATATAATCACATTTTTTTTGTAAAATAAATAAATGTATAAAATAATAATCTAATTACGTCTATTTTTGTCTTCTTTTTAACACGTTTATATTCTTTGAATCATAGAGTTCACCACAATATACATAGAACAGCAATAATATTCAAATAATCTAAAAAAAAAAACTTGATTTTTTTAATTTATCAATTGCATACCAAAACATAGGATAAGGTTCAAGCCTTTTCATAGGTAAGTAGTGATATATAAATATATACAATATACGGTACAATATAACTTTATCAATGTACAAATCATAGAAATTTGGGTTGCTTTGCGCAATGCCGCAAATACATACCAGATTTGAAGATGTTAAAATTGTAAATCACTGTATCTTTATACTATACTATTGTCAGGTAGAATAGATTTCAATACATCCTGGCCTACATTTATTATGTAGGAGGCTGTTTGGTGGAGGAGAAATGGTGTGGTTTCCCAACTTCGAGGTCGGGGTTTCAATCCTTCGCTGTCCATTTCGCTGAAGTCCTTGAGCAAGGCACTTTATCTAGGCTACACTGCTTCAGTCTACCCAGCTGTATCAATGCAATAGGTACCAGTATAAATGGGAGTCTACTAACCTGCGGTGGACCGGCGTCCCAACCAGGGGAAGCATGACTCTCTTATCTGCTTCCACGCTACTTAAAACTGGGGATAAGCTCCCGCCCACAATCAGCACCGTAGCTCGGCAAGAATTTACTCTACATCTATGTTAGAAAAATGGTTTATATAGCAATACAATCGTATATCAATAATGAAAAACGCTAGCCTATATATTTAACAAACCAAATCATTTAAAACTGTCGTTTCCACCAGAGAAATGATGTTGGACAAAACAAGGACCACCTACCAACCCTCACTCAAAGTTAGTTTGTTTAGTTTCTCGTCCTCAATCGACAAGAATAATACAGTACGTAGAATTGTCAAAGCCGTTCGATCTATACTGAAATTACTGTCGACAAATACACTAATGCGTTTCTTCGCAGCTAATTTGCGCCCGAGGGAAAATCCAGTAAGTATCCGCTTTTGTTTTCTAAGTACACATATAGTATGAAGAAAAAATACATCAGAGGAACAATACATGGCTTGGAGTAACAACCAGTAAAACGTGTTTGCACTAGTATGAGATTTTCACTAAACCTATTGTTTGTTAAAGTGTAAGACAGTAATTTGAGTGTGGAACATTGTATTTGCTACAAAATACCAATAATGTTCATGGCCCGGAATTAATGTTAACAACAATAAACGAATAAAAAATGAAGAAAGCGCTCTAGGACTTAGTTAAGAGCGCTATATAAAAGCCTAGGCCTATATACTATTATTAGCATTATTATTAAATCTTTGTTTAATTACAAAATAGATTATACTATTATAGTTCGTTTATTCTTCCAAGAAACCGTTTTTCTTTTTGAAAGTTAGGTATAGTTTTGTTGTTGTTTGGAAAACAAAAATAATACTTTATCAGGTAATAAAACTGAATATAATTTAACAAAAAGAAGTTATAAAAATCTGTGTTGAATTTCAGAAACGCACAAAATTATGATGCATATGAATGTTGAACATAATATCACGAGAGCTGCCGATGAGGGCGAGAGCCATACTTATGTACTCTGAACTCAAAACACGATGAGAATGCACCGTTTTTGGGCCAATTTTAGTTCACTTAGTTAAAATCTAGTAATTTAGTAAATGTACACAAATATATGTCTTTTGTATTGTAATGATAATTAATGTTAATGCTAAATATGATGTTATCAAAAAGTATGTTAAAATGAATTTAAGAATTTAACAGTACGGTAATAAATGCACACATAGTATACACCCCCCACACACATATATATATACACACACACACACACATACATATATATATATATATATACAGTATATATATATATATATATATATATGTATATATATAACAACAAATATATTATATATATATATAACTTATAAAAAAATTGTAGCAATTATTACATTTATTATTATTATTGTAATATAATAATAAAAGTAATAATTAAAGTGTGACTATAAATCAAGCTTACTAAGAATTACCTTGTGAATTTTGTTGTATCTGTAGCTTTGGTTCAAAAACAGACGTGCCAAATGGAGGAAACAGAAGTGAGAGCAACACGAAACCGTCAAGCGATCCTCAAACTTAGATGTTGAAAATAGTCATCCAACGACACTCGTACCAAACAATCCAAACTACAGTGACGATAAAGACGATCCAAAAACCACTACTGCCAACACAGAAACGAACGAAAATAAACATTTTAAATTAAAAAAAGAAACCGAAAAGATAGATATTATAAGCGGAACGTCTTTTACTTCAGGTTGACAGATTGATATTAATAACACTCATTAATTTAGAATATTGAAAACCGATTCCCATAATTCCCAAATTCGAAAAATCCTGTCTGTTAGATCTGATTTAATGAGCTTCCTTAATATATTTTATTTTATTTTGCTGTGCGCATGGTACGAATCGGCGCTGACTTTCCTGAGACAATTGATAATAAAGTACGGTATTAAAAACATGCAAATAGGCCCTATTATGAATTTGCGGGAGATGAGTTATTTTCCGGGAGATTCGTCCTTGCTTGCGGGAGTGCAGGAGGCCGTCCCGATTTCCGGGAGACTCCGACAAGTTCTGGGAGACTTGGGAATATCCCTGTAACATCCTTGTTACCATAAAATCGCTATTGTACTGTCCCAGTGCAATCGGGAAGACTCCCCGATTCAGGCCGCTAATAAGCGTTGCTAGAATCTGGTTCTGGTAGGTAAAGCCGACCTCCAAAAGTGTAGGAGTATGACGGGGGGGGGGGGGGGAGGAAGAAATAGTGTCAAATTACAGTAAAGGTCCACCACCACAGTTGAAGACGCGCAGCGTCAGTCATGAGCAGGATTGCCGTACCTGATAGGTAGAAAACTCACAATCACAAGAGCATCGGCTTTGCGAAAACAAAAAAAAAACAAAAAAAACAAAACAAAACAAAAACAAATTTGGTAGTGAAATTTGGGAGCGTTTAAAGATTAAGTGAAAATTACACCTTCAAGAAACGAGACGAGAAGATTAGAATATTAATTGGTGATGTTATATGGAAACTAGGCTTAATCATACTATTGGTTTTTCCATCACATTTAAAGATAGATGTATATTTATCTAAACGCTCTTATCCGCTTCCATGCTACTTAAAACTGGGGATAAGCTCCCGTCCATAATGAGCACCGTAGCTCGACAAGGATTTACTCTACATCTATATTAGAAAAATGGTTTATATAGCAATACAATCGTATATCAATAATGAAAAACGCTATATATTTAACAAACCAAATCATTTAAAAGTGTCGTTTCCAGCAGAGAAATGAGTTTGGACAAAACAAGGATCGTCTACCAACCCTCACTTTTTGTTTAGTTTCCCGTCCTCAACTGACAAGAATAATACAGTAAGTAGAATTTTCAAAGCCGTTCGACGCGATCTATACTAAACTTACTGTCGACAAATACATTAATGCGTTTCTTCGCAGCTAATTCACGCCCGAGGTATCCAGTAAGTATCCGCTTTTGTTTTCTAAGTACAGTATGCATATAGTATGAAGAAAAAATACGTCAGAGGAACAATTCCTGGTTTGGAGTTACAACCAGTTAAACGTGTTTGCACTAGTATGAGATTTTCACTAAACCTGTTGTTCAAGTGTGGAATAGATATTTGCTACAAAATACCAATAATGTTCATGGCCGAATTGATGTTAACACAATAATAAACGACTAAAAAAATTAAGAAAACTAGGCAGGTGATTTTTTTTTTATTGCAAATATACACAGCCATATTGAAACACGCAAAATTAATGCGAGATAATAGTGGTATCGGTTATGTATTCCATCCATAAAATTGTCCATTGTTAAATACAATCAATCAACCAGTCAATTCCTTATTAAGTGCATTATTATAATTTAGGAAAAACAATCACATACAGTAGAAAGTGCTCTGAGACTTAGTTGTATAGAGCGCTATATAAAAGCCTACATATTATTATTATCATTATTATTAAATATTTGTTTAATTACAAGCTTATACTGTCATAGTTCGTTTTTTCTTCCAAGAAACCGTTTTCCTTTTTGAAAAATACGGTAGGTTATGTGTTGTTCTTGTTTGGAAAACAAATATAATACTTTATTAGATAATAAAACTGAACGTATTTAACAAGAAAAAGTTATAAATATCTGTGTTGAATTTGAGAGACGCACTGTTGAACATAATATCTCGAGAGCTGCCAATGAGGGCGAGAGTCATACTATGTACTCTGAAAAAACACGATGAGAATGCACGTTGCATGTTAAAGTGGATTTAAGAATATCAAATGAGTAATAGTATTTAATAAATGTACACATATACACAATGTCGTTGATTTACTTCATTACGATTTGCAACCATGTTCCTATACCAGTATATGACCACTGTATTATTATCTATTTGATTTATAAGTATAAAATTCATGATATAATAGTGATAATCTCTAAAGTTTAAACTATCTTGCGGTAATGCTATAAATATATGTAGCCATAAAGAACATAAACTGCGAATGTGAAAACATAGGTGCCCCAACCGGGATTCTGTTGTCCATATGTATGTATGTATGTATGTATGTATGGGCTGTCTCTTATACACATCTAGATGTGTATAAGAGACAGCTATAGGATTCCCGTCACATTCTTTTTCTTTTAGTCTACTCAATCGCACGTCATCAGTTGGCAGAAGTTTATACAATTTATCCCAAAATAATGGATCGTTCCAGTGAATATAGCTATTAGTGGACAAATACTTCTTTAAATTCTTGTCGAGTTTCTCTTCACAAATTCCTTCCAAGAGTACAACAATCAAACGATTCATGCGATCATGTATCACCTGTTCATAGGCTACTTTGAACTCAAGTAAACACCATTCACTCTCTAAAAAGTTTGGGGATAGAAGAAGAATCGTTCTCCTGCTGGCCGCCACAGTCTCAATAATAGTATCAGCGATAGGAGCACCGACGGGGAAATCTCTATAGTGGAGGCAAAGTTCATACGGCGGATATCGTCCCTCTAGTACCGGTGCTAGATCATACAACACCACTTGATAATCTTCACTACTATAGGAAATAAATGCATCATATTTCTTAAGATCCTCTTCATCATTATTATCATCTTTGAGCAGGCGGTATCGGTATTTAACGTAGAATAACCACTGAATATATTTTCTGTGTCGTAAAACTAACAATGAAGCAATGAATACTATTAAAGTAATTACTGAAATAACTGTAGCATAAAGAGTGCCTCGTGCACCTGATGCATTACAGTTAAAATACACGTCAAGCAACTGTAAAATGGGGACGTCTGTGGTCAAGCTGCCATTATATGCGTTCACACACATAATATCAGATGGTCTCAACACTATATATATGTTATCGTTTATCCACTGCTTCAACCACAGTAAGGTGCATCCACACCTAAATTTATTATTATGTAATGAAATGAGTTTTAGTCTTTTCAATGGATTAAATGTACCGTTTGGGAGAGCTTGCAGCTGATTGTTATGAAGATATAAATGAGTTAAATTGACATTCGTTGAAAATGATGCTGAATCTATTCTTTGAATGGAATTGTCATTTAGAAACAATTCTTCTATCAACGTGAGTTTGGCAAAATCATCACTTATTCGTGTGATGTAATTATCATTTAGAACAAGTTTTGTTAATTTTGGTAATCCTTCGAAAGCACCACGACATATTTCAGTGATATCATTATAACTCATATAAAGTTCAAGAATGTTGTCACTAACAATGAAGCGAGATGGGATTCTTGTTATATTACTGAGTTTCAGTGACCCAGTAAGTTCTAGAATGTTTGTGTTTACAGGAAGGTCATTTTCCCAAATTCGAGAGCTGCAGTTGTAAGTTTTGAGATAATCGGAAACGGTTTGATAATAAGGACAAGTTAAGCCGTCTTTTGGAATTATACAATGAATATCCTCCGTCGGAATTGAAGCAAGTGTTTTATTACTAAGCTCAGCAGGTCCAGCACAGATCAGATGTTTATAATCACCAATGGCAACATGTTTATTTAAATAACCCAACTCGTTCCTTTTAAGAAAACGGATCTTCTCACAGAAGTCTAATAAAAACGCGCATAATAGTGGATTTCCTTCAAAGAGTACAGTAAGATCTGAAGTCAAGGGAATAAATTCATTATCGCTTGGAAAGTTTGTAAGTTTATTGTAACTAACATCTAGATTCTCTAACGCTGTCATGTTAAAACAATTTTCAACAAACGTGGATACCTCGTTATACGAAATGTTTAGGTAGATCAAATTAGGAAGATGTAGTGCGCATGTCCATTCTCTAATATTGTTGTAGCTTAGATCAAGTTTTTTTAAAGTTAAATTATCAACTAAAGGTGCTGTCGTCACATTGTATACAAGTTGCCCTATGTTGTTGTTTTTTGCATTCAAAATCTGTAAAGAATGTAGAGAGCCGAGCAAAGTATCTATAAATATTACATGCAGGTCATTATTTCCAATAAACAAACGCTCGAGAAACACTAAACCATCAAACGCCCTCTTTGAGATATAATACAGACGATTATATGCAACATTTAGTATCTTTAACAAACACTTCGAGTTCTCTGCACAAAATGTATAGTCTGGTAAAGTTGTGAGTTTGTTACTATTAAGAATAAGATTCGAAATATTAGAGACTTCTCTGAGGGCTGGATGAATACTATCACCAATGTTCGCATACAAGAGTTGCAAAGTGTCCATATGTATCAATGCTGAGGCCAATCCGTCTACGATTCTAGTGACATTACACCAGGTCAAATTAAGAGTTCGAATATTGGATCCATATAGTCTGAAAATTGTTGGATCTAAAATTACCTCACTCTTATTTGCGGCGGATAAACATATTATGAGAAACTCAAATGATTCGGGTACACTCTCTAGCAGTGACGCAAGAGAAAATCCGTGATAAATATAACAAAATGAAGAACAAGATGCTGTCACTTCTGCGTTTCCAGCTTGTGTTCGTGTGTACAGGTACTTACATTTGCAAAATGATGGTAACGTATGATTTCCACAGCCTTCATAATATGTTGCACAGCCGTCTGCTGCAAGATCAACTGGTGACGCTGACAAGAACATCAAAAAAGCTATGCTGATGAACCGAATGTAGTCTTGCCTCAACACAACACTTAGTGGCAACATGTTTTACGCCTGCAATTCCAAACAACACTGTAAACGTAAGGTAAGTGATCAGTCAAGGCTGAAACCACAGCGCCGGTTAAGAGCTGAGCTATTATGACGTCAACACAGTTGGGTGACGAAACATCACAATGCTACTCCTTGAAATGAATATTAATTTTTTTTTGTTTTATTACGTAACACCCAATCAATCAATCAATCAATCAATCATCAATCATTTTGATAATCATTAATGAATCAATCAGCGAATCTATAGATGAACCAACAATCATTCAATCAATCAATCAATCAATCAATCAATCAATCAATCAATCGATTCAATTAATAAAATTTAATAAACGTGTAACAGAGCTATAGGCCTAATATGTCTAACATATTTTACAAACAATTCTAATGTATGAGTTTCTGTCTTGCTTACAATCACCTTTAAACAAGTCCACAACTAACCTGTTGTAGGCCTAGACCTTCGTGTCCTAACATTGACACGAGGTCAATTCGACACCAATACTGTATTTGAAGACAGAAGCTGCACTGAAGTGAACGTATTCTTATCGTAAGTTACTATCTGAATAAACACAGTGTATCACTATTTTTATACCAACGGTAAGTGAGAATCCATTTTCTTCTGATAATGGTAATCAATGTATTCTATATCTTTCATTCGAATACGTTTTAAAAATAATTGAATCTTCGGGTTTTGTGTATCCAGACTACAGCAAAGATACTACTTCAACTAGAAGCGCCATTTTCCACATCCTAATATTTCGTAATAACCTTCAGGGACCAAAACTGAGCCCATCTCCAATATCAAAAATGCCATTGGTATGAAATGCAATCGTGCGTTCATTGTAGGTTTGCTAAGCAGTTATAATTAAGAAACAATATTCGTTTATTAAACGTTGATATGTTGGTCTCTACATCCTCTCATTTGGGGCCATTTTTACCGGGCCTTTTTTTCTGGGGAAATTTTTTCAAGGGCCTTTTTTCAGGGGCGATTTTTCTGGCCACTTTTAATTGCATTTCAGTAGAGTGTATACTGCTGTACAACACTTATTTTCTATGTTTGAAAGTGTGTAAAATAAGAACAAAATAAGCACATTTTGAGCCTGAAATCGCGGCCAAAAAATAAGAACGGTGAGCCTGGGCAAAAATTTTACTGGGCAAAAAAATAGTGTAATAATAATAATAATAATAATAATAATAATAATAATAATAATAATAATAATAATAATAATAATAACAATAACAGGTAATAATAATAATAATAATAATAACAATAACAGGTCAATCAAATAATAATAATAATAATAATAAATTGAACAAATTAATGACAATTGTACATAGATTGAATTACTTGTCTGTTATAAATTTAATGTTTTGCTTTGTTTTAATAGTAATAAAATGTCTAATCAAAACTGTTGAACCTCTTATTTTATATATATATATATATGTATAGAAATATATATAGCCTATATAT